AGCCCCTCTGCGGGGAGCTCTAGGCAAGTGGGGCTAGACTTTTGAATTCTCATCTTGACCAGCCCTGGAGGCTGGCTGTTCCGAGCACGGAGCACACCTCTGGACAAAGTGGCACCTTTTGGGCAAGGCAGTTCCTGGAGATGAACTCAGCCATAACCAGACAGCATCTATCTTGCAAGGGGGATAATGAGCTTGGGTAGCCACTTCACCACCCAGTCCAGCTTGACCCTGTGTCCCATCTCAAATATTCCTTTGGACTGGGGAGAATCCCTGTGTTCCACTTCCAAGTTCCCAGGAGTGAGACTCTGGCTGGTCAAGTCTGATTGGGAATCTTTCTCCTAGTCTCATCAACCACCCTGGGAGTGGGGTCAACAGGATACACAAGGATGCTTCACAAAGGTCATGGAAAAAATAGAAATGAAAGATGTTTATTTTGGTGCAAAAAAGCTTAGAAATTCATGCATAGCTTTTTCATAATATACTTTTTCCATGAACTTTTTGAAGACATATGCATGGATTTCAAAATTTTTTTACATTCAAATAAACTTATCTTTTATTTCCATTTTTCTGAAAATTGTTTAAAGTACTCTTGTGTTACCTGGATATCAACTTATATGCTTGCTAATACCCAGTTAGCAAAAACAATTATAATTTGTCTTTCGCTATAAACACAAGTCAGTAAAGGTTTGGCAATCAGTCTCTAGGGCAGGTATTATCGTATTGATGTATTTGTCCAAGGGTACTTATGACTTTGTAGACACAGCAGCAAACATTCAGATAAACTTGATTCTGAAAGTCAGAATTCTTGTGCGTGTAGAAATGGGTAGGTGGCTGGAAGATTCCTGTAACAAATAAACAAAGCCCCATTTATCCTTACCTTTTAGCCACACCTTTTACCTCTTAGTTTATCATCTCTATAGTGTTGCTTTTTCTAGAATGTCATAGAATTCAATCCTACAGGATATGGTCTTTCAAACTAGTTTCATTCACAATACACATTTAAGATTCACTCATGTTGTTGTGTGGCTTGGTATTTCATTCCTTTTCTAAGTCACTGAATAGCACGCTATTGCATGAATATATTGCAGATTGTTTACCCATTTACCATTGAGAGGTTGCTCCCAGTTTTTGGCTCTGCTCCCCAGACATGTACCCGTCCCTTGTCTCCACCTTCACCTTCTTGGATCAGGCCCCATGAACTACTCTGTGAACCATTTCGATGACTTGTCAACTAGCCTTTCTTGTTATTCGTTAAGATTTTATTTCAGAATAGTTTCAAATTTACAAAAAAGAAATCGTGAACTAGTGCAAAGAGTTCCCATATACCCACTCCAGCTTCTACTGTTGGTATCTTATACTAGTATGATGCACTTGTCACAATCATATGCCATACCAAGCTTCCCCTATTAGTAACATCTCATATTAGCATGATATATTTGTCATATTTAATGGGTCACACACTCCTTCCCCTGATTTTTTTTTTTAATCTAAACTTCCGTAGAGGAAGTCTCAGTTTCTAGTAATCAACATTCTGTGGTCAGATTGAAGTTTTCTTTTTAAAGCTCCTATATAAGAGGCAGAATGTGTGGTATCTGCCCTTCCGTGTCTAGTTTATTTCGCTTAAAATATGTCCTCCAGTTCCAACCATCTTGCTGCAACTAACAGAATTTCATTCTTTTTAATGGCTGAATAGAATTCCATCATATATATATATATATATATATATATATATAATCATATATATGTATATGTGTGCTGCAATAAACGTGGTAGAGCAGGTATCTCCTTGATACACTGATGCGTGTCTTTTGGATATATACCCAATAATGGGATTTCTGGATCATATGGTAGTTGTGTTTCTAATTTTTTCAGAAATTGCTATACTGTTTTTCATAGTGGCTGTACTAATTTGAATCCTCACCAACAGTATATGAGAGTTACCCTTTCTCTACATCCTTGTCAGCATTTATTACTTTCTGTGATTTTTGTAATGGCCATTCTAACAGGGGTGAAGTGCTATCTCATTGTGGTTTTGTATTTCCCTGTGGCTAAGGATTTGAGTTTTTTTTTTTTTTCGTATATTTTTTGCCCATTTGTATTTCTTCTTTTGAGAAATGTCTATTCAGGTCCTTTGCCCATTACTTAACTGGATTGGTTGTTTTGAGTGTTGAGTTTTTTTGAGTTCCTGATATATTTTGGATATTAACTCTGTGTTGGATAAATAGCCTGCAAATATTTTCTCCCATTTTGTTGGATGCTTCTTTTTTATTTTTTTTAAGATTTATTTATTATTATTTATATATATTATAGAGTTACAGAGAGAGAGAGAGTGGGAGAAAGAGAGAGAGAAAGTGATATCTCATATCTCATCTGCTGGTTCACTCCCCAAATGGGTGCAGCTCTGGCCAGTCTGTAGCCAGGAGTCAGGAGCTTCCTCCGGTCTCCTACACGGGTGCAGGGGCCCAAGTACTTGGGCCATCTTCTGCTTTCCCAGGCCATAGCAGAGAGCTGGGTTGGAAGTGAGCAGCCAGGACTCAAACTGGCGCCCATATGGGATGCTGGCACTGCAGGCGGCGGCTTTACCACTGTGCCACAGCCCAGGCCCATCCCTTAAGTTTTTCTTTTAAAAATTTTTTAGTTTCAGATCTTACACTTGGGTCTTTGATCCATATTGAGCTGATTTTTCTGTATGGTGAGAGGTAGGAATGCAATTTCATTTTTCTAAATATATATGTGCGCTTTTGTCAGCACCTTTTATTGAAAAGTTTGTCCTTTTCTCCAGGGTATCTTCATGGCACATTTATCAAAATCAGTCAGCTGCATGTGCTTGGATTAATTTCTGGGCTCTATATTCTGTTTCATTGATCTGTATGTTGGCTTTTATAACAGTGCAACACTCTTGTAATTACCATAGTTTTGTAGTATGCTTTGAAATCAGGTATTGTGATGACTCAACTTGGTTTTTATTTTGCTTAGGATTGCTTTAGCTATTCTGGGTCTTTTGTGGTTCCATGTGAATTTTAGGATTGCTCTTTAGGATGGCCCAAGTGTGTCTGCGCCTGCCACCCGTGTGGGAGACGTGAATGAAGCCCCTGGCCCCTGGCTTCAGCCTGGCCCAGTGCTGACTGTTGCGGCCATCTAGAGAATGAACCAGCAGATGGAAGATCTCTCTCTTTGTCTCTCTGTCTTTCCTTCTCACTCTGTAACTCTGTCAAATAAATAAATAAATAAATATTTTTTAAAAGTAATTAATTAATTTGGAAGAGAGAGAGAGGGAAGAGATCTTCCATCTCCTGGTTCACTCTCCAAATTCATGCAACAGCCAGAGTTGGGCCAAGCTGAAGCTACAAGCCCCGGATTGCATCTAGGTCTACCATGTGGGTGGCAGGGACCATCGCTGCTGCTTTTCATAGTGCATATTAGCCCGAAACGGGATTGGAAGCAGAGCCAGGACCTGAAACTAGGACTGCTGGTGTGGGCTGTGGGAATCCCAAGTGGTATTTTTAACTACTGAGATCAAGTCCATCCCCTAGAATAGTATCTTAAATTTAGAAATTCTGAGATCATTTTCTAACCTCCCTAAGAAATTTTCCAAAACATTTGACTATTTTTTTTTAAAAGAAAAAGATTTATTTATTTATTTGAAAAATAGAGTGACACACAGAGCGATCTCCCACCTACTTGTCCACTCCACAAAATGTCTGTGACAGCTGAGGCTGGGCCATACCAAAGCCAGGAGTCAGAAACTCCATCTGGATCTCCCATGTGAATAGCAGGGGCCCAAGTACTTGAGCCATCAGGAACATTAGCGGGAATCTGGATGAGAAGCAGAGTAGCCAGGACTCAACCAAGGCTCTTCCATTATGGGCCACTGGTGTCCCAAGTGGCAGCTCAGCATGCTGTGTCACGATGCTTACCCCTTGAAAAGATTTTTAAACAAATCGTTGGGGCCAGTGCTGTGGTGCCATGGGTTAATGCCCTGGCCTGAAGTGCCGGCATCCTATATGGGCGCTGGTTTGAGACCTGGCTGCTCCATTTCCCATCCAGTTCTCTGCTGTGGCCTGGGAAGGCAGTAGAAGATGGCGCAAGTGTTTGGGCCCCTGCACCCACGTGGGAGACCCGGAAGAAGCTCCTGGCTCCTGGCTTCGGATTGGTGCAGCTCCAGTTGTTGCAGCCAATTGGGGAGTGAACCATCGGATGGAAGACCTCTCTCTCTCTCTCTCTCTCTCTCTCTCTCTCTCTGCCTCTCCTCTCTCTGTGTAACTCTGACTTTCAAATAAATAAATCTTTAAAAAAAAAAAACAAATCATCATCTCACTAATCAATGTAAATTATCAAGACAAGAGTCATGGCTTTTCAAGTTGGCTATAAAATTTTCTGGATGGTCCACTGAGAACTAAACTTGAAACCTTGACTCTTAGTCCATTCTGTTGGCTATAGTGAAATACATTGGACTGGGAAATTTATAAACAACAGAAATGTATTGCCTACATTTCTAAGATCAAGGTGCCCATGGATTAGGGGTCTGGTGAGGGTTCGTTTATTGCTCCAAAGATGGCACTCGTGTGGTAGACGGGAGAGGTCAATGGTCTTCCTTAGGCCTCATTTTACAGGGGCGTGGATCCCAATTTCCAAGGCAGATTAGATATCAACACAAATTTAGAGGGGACATAAATGTTCAGACCACAGCAGCTAATGCAGAGCTACATTCCGGATATCAGGAATGGCATTTATTTCTTAGACAAGTGACCTGATTGATAGGGAACCTGCAGAGTTGGATGAGAAGGGTTCTTAGGCAGCATCCAGGCTCTGAGAAAAGAGGCTGGGACAAACAAGTGCTGGTCCTATCACGCGGCCCATCATGAGCTGTCTGGTGTCATTCATTACCAAAGTTTGCTGAAGACAAGATGAGTTGTGGTTAGCTCTGTGGAATGACTTGGTTGTTTCAGAACATCCAATATGGTCTCCTGTTATTTACTTACTGTTTCTTCTCCCGCTAGGATGCAAGCTCCATCAAGGCAGGTGTCTGTTTTCGTCTCTGTTGAGTCCAGTGCCCAGAGAGTGGCACTTGGTAGGCGTTCAGGAGATTGAATGAGCTTTTCCTGCCTTCTAGGACTTTGGCTCTTCGTCTCTTCTGGTGGTAGATGACAATTTCAACCTCAGGTAAGGTCAGCACATACATCATGTTTTAGTTTATGCAAAACTCAGAAGAACATTCTATGGAATACAAATTGGTCCTTCCATATTTTTTCTTTCTACTGACTTTGCCCTATAAATTTGCACCACTTCTTTTAAATAATAAAAATCACAAATTTGTCATATGGGTAGGACTATCAAGAAAGTGCAACACCCAGCCTAACCATGCATATCATCAGATTGTCTGAAAGACTGGTTACCTATCATCGACGTTTTTCATACTTATTTGGGAGCGTTCCTGTGTGCATCTGTCGATTCAGTCTTGTTTCTGGTTGTACTGACACTCAGGAGATCAGCAATGTATCTTTTCTCCCTAGCCCTAACTTGCTAATGAGCAAAGGCTTCTTCGTATCCGGAGAAAAATCAAAGGAGCTTTATATGCCAGACTGAAATGTTCAGCCCCAAAGCCAAGGTTGAAAATGCTTCAGGGTTTCACCATGAATGAATAGCACTGTTTGGATATAGAAGACGGAGCCCGTGTCCTTGGAGTGGCTGTGACATGGGGCTTTGAGACGGAGCTGGCGGGCGTCTCATCTGTGAGGCTGTGACTCTTTAGCACCCTGCAGGTGATGCGCTTGGCTCTGTGCATGGCTTATTTTCAGCCACATTAAGCCACAGTGCCTGCCAGTCACACTTACATCAGCTCGCAATGTAGGAGCACCAACACAACACATTTTTTAAAAATATCAAAGGTAGGAATGTAGGATCTGTCTGAAGGAGCCCTCCCTTAGGGCAATGTTCCTTCAAAAGACATCTTTAAATTGAGTATTTAAATTCCGACATTGAAATATGTCTTAATGATTTTAACCCAATATCTCCTTTTCAAGTGTTTAATCTTATAAGAGCTAGTTTGCTGTCAAGTGGTTTCTGATTGAGCATGTTGCAATATTCTTAGCCATTTTGTAAATAGCAGCATCTAGTGGGGGCTATCAACCATGAATGTGATTGATTATACAGTCAATTGTTATTGAAACATCAGGGATGCTAAGCTATGAATGTTATGCATCTTCAAAAATTTTATTTACTTATTTGAAAGGCAGAGAAATAGGGGGGCAGAGACAGAATGAGGGAGCAGAGACGGAAAGATCTTCCATCCGTTGATCTACTTTCCAAATGGCCCCAACAGCCAGGGCTGGGACAGGCCAAATCCAGGATCCAGGAACTGCAGCTGGGTCTCTCATGTGGGTAGCAGGGACCCAAGCGCTTGGACCATTCTCTCCTGCTTTCACAGCCACATTAGCAGGGAACTGGATTGGAAGCAGAGCAGCTGGGACTTGAACCGGCACTCTGATATGGGATGTCCATCTCGCAATCAGAAGCTTAACCAACGGTACCACAGTGCTGGCCCCAGGTGAACTCAGCCCTTCAGTACAAAAACTAAAGGTGTTCAAGGGCTAAATAAGTTTTTTTCTGATGCTTACGGTTCTTTCAAGTACACTGTAGTATTTGGCTGGTGTCCTGATCAGCTGGGATTTTCACAGCCTGGGAACCTTAGGACAGAGAAGACCCCCTTCCAAGGACACTAATCCTGGTAGAAGAGGGCTCCACCCTTTTGACCTCATTTAATTCTGATTACTTCCGTAAAGACTTCCTCTTCCAACACAGCCACACTAAGGGCTAGGGCCTCAGCTCATGAACTGGGGGCAGGGAGCACAGACACTCAGTCCCTAATAGCTGGGACCACAGTTCCCCGTGCAGGAGGGAAACCACCCTCTAACTCACAGCCCTGGATGGAGCTTTCATATACAGCTGAGAGAGCTGACTTAGCAGAGCCTCATAACTGACATTTGGGTGAGGGACAAAGGCATATCACAAATGAGTAGGAAGCTGATTTCATTTTTTCTTTTTAGCCATCGAAACCAGACACAGTAATTCCATTGCTGTTCTTTCTTTTTAAAACCTTAAATATTGGTTTATTTACCCAGCCTAGGTTTATCAAATTTATTAGTCATCTAGTGATATTACTTTCTTTTTTTATAGAAAACTTTTATTTAATAAATATAAATTTCAAAAGTACAACTTTTGGATTATAGTGGTTCTCCCCGCCATGACCACCCTCCCACCCTCAAAACATCCCATCTCCTACTCCCTCTCCTATTCCATTCTTCATTAAGATTCATTTTTAATTATCTCTATATACAGAAGATAAACTCTATACTAAGTAAAGATTTCAACAGTTTGCACCCACACAGACACACAAACTACAAAGTATTGTTTGAATACTAGTTTTACTGTTAATTCACATAGTACAACACATTAAGGACAGAGGTCCTACACAGGGAGCAAGTGCACAGTGACTCCTGTTGTTGATCTAACAATTGACACTCTTATTTATGATGTCAGTGATCACCCGAGGCTCTTGTTATGAGCTGCCAAGGCTATGGAAGCCTCTTGAGTTCACAAACTCTGGTATTTTTTTAAAAATTTATTTGATAGATAGAGTTAGACAGTGAGAGAAAGAGACAGAGAGAAAGGTCTTCCTTCCGTTGGTTCACCCCCCAAATGGCTGCTATGGCCAGAGCTGCGCTGATCTGAAGCCAGGAGCCAGGTGCTTCTTCCTGAGCTCCCACGTGGGTGCAGGGCCCAAGCACTTGGCCCATCCTCCACTGCCCTCCCAGGCCACAGCAGAGAGCTGGACTGGAAGAGGAGCAGCCAGAACTAGAACCCGGCGCCCATATGGGATACCAGTGCCCCAGGCAGAGGATTAACCAAGTGAGCCACAGTGCCAGACCCTCAAACTCTGGTCTTATTTAGACAGGGCCATAATCAAAGTGGAAGTTCTCTCCTCCCTTGAGAGAAAATTACCTCCTTCTTTGATGGCCCCTTCTTTCCACTGGGATCTCACTCACAGAGATCTTTCATTTAGGTAATTTTTTGCCACAGTGTCTTGGCTTTCCATGCCTGAAATACTCTCATGTTTTTAGCCATATCTGAATGCCTTAAGGGCTGATTCTGAGACCAGAGTGCTGTTTAGGGCATTTGTCATTCTATGAGTCTGCTGTGTATCCCACTTCCCATGTTGGACTGTTCTCTCCTTTTTAATTCTATCAATTATTATTAGCAGACACTGTTCTTTGACACTTTGACACTTAATCTTATCTTTATGATCAGTTAGCATTTGCCAAACTGTACATCTCCTCCCTTTCTTATTCCCACTCTTATTTTAACATGGGTCAATTTTCAGTTGGATTTTAACATCTAAAAAAATTGTGTTAATTAAAGAGTTCAACCAATGGTATTAAGTAGAAAAATAAAATACTAAAAAGAATAAAATAGTAAGTTGTTCCTCGACAGTCAGGACAAGGGCTGATCAAGCCGTTGCTTCTCATAGTGTCAGTTTCACTTCAACAGGTTTCCTTTTAGGTGCTCAGTTAGTTGTCACAGATCAGGGAGAACATATGCTATTTGTCCCTTTGGGACTGGCTTATTTCATACAGCATGATGTTTTCCAGATTCCTCCATTTTGTTGCAAATGACCAGATTTCATTTTTTTTAACCATTGTGTAGAATTCAATAGAGTACATATCCCATAATGTCTTCATCCAGTCTTCTGTTGATGGGCGTTTAGGTTGATTCCATGTCTTAGCTTTTGTGAATTGCACTGCAATAAACATTGAGGTGCAGATAGCTCTTTTATTTGCTAATTTAATTTCCCTTGGGTAAATTCTGAGGAGTGGGATGGCTGGGTTGTGTGGCAGGTTAATATTCAGATTTCTGAGGTATCTCCAAACCATCATCTGTAGTGGCTTTACCAGTTTGCATTCCCACCAACAGTGGATTAGTGTGCCTTTTTCCCCGCATCCTCGCCAGCATCTGTTGTTAGTTGATTTCTGTATGTGAGCCATTCTAACTGGGGTGAGGTGAAACCTCATTGTGGTTTTGATTTGCATTTCCCTGATGGCTAGTGATCCTGAACATTTTTTTGTGTGTCTGTTGGCCATTTGGATTTCCTCTTTTGAAAAATGTCTATTTAGGTCCTTGGCCTATCTCTTAAGTGGGTTGTTTGTTTTGTTGTTGTGGAGTTTCTTGATCTCTTTGTAGATTCTGGTTATTAATCCTTTATCAGTTGCATAATTTGCAAATATTTTTCCCATTCTGTCGGTTGCCTCTTCACTTTCCTGACTGTTTCTTTTGCAGTACAGAAAATTCTCAATTTGATGTAATCCCAATTGTTGATTTTGGCTTTGACTGCCTGTGCCTCTAGGGTCTTTTCCAAGAAGTCTTTGCCTGTGCCTATATCTCTGATGTTCTCTAATAATTTGATGGTGTCAAGTCATAGATTTAGATCTTTAATCCATGTTGAGTGGATTTTTGTGTAAGTTGTAAGGTAGAGGTCTTGCTTCATACTTCTGCATGTGGAAATCCAGTTTTCCCAGCACCATTTGTTGAATAGACTCTCCTTGCTCCAGGAATTGGTTTTAGATCCTTGATCAAATATAAGTTGATTGTAGATGTTTGGATTGATTTCTGGTGTTTCTATTCTGTTCCATTGGTCTATCCATCTGTTTCTGTACCAGTACCATGTACCAGTAGATTAGCTGTAGTATGTCTTGAAATCTGGTATTGTGATGCCTCCTGCTCTGTTTTTGTTGTCCAAGATTGCTTTAACTATTTGAGGCCTCCTGTGCCTCTGTATGAATTTCAGCTTCATTTTTTCCAGATCTGAGAAGAATGTCTTTGGCATTTTGATTGATATCACATTGGACCTATAAATTGCTTTTGGAAGAATGGACATTTTGATGATATTGATTCTTACAATCCATGAACATGGAAGATTTTTTTTTATTTTTTGGTATCCTCTTCTATTTCTTTCTTTTGTAATTCTCGTTGTAGAGATCTATGACACCCTTGGTTAAGTATATTCCAAAGTATTTGACTTTTTTTTGTAGATATTGTAATGGGATTGATCTTAGAAGTTCTTTCTCAGCCATGATATTGTCTGTGTATACAAAGGCTGTTGATTTTTG